TCTACAGACAAAGACCAAGTTCTAGCAGAAACTATAAGGAAAGAAGCAAGAAGACGAGCATACAGCGGACAAGGGCCGGAAGGCAGGGGTACCTGAGACCCGTGAGACTCCACGGGAGGAGGCTTGGCGGAGGAGAACTGGAGGCTGAGACCACCGGAGCAGCTCCGGAGACCAGCGGCAAGGGTTAGGTGGATCTGCTGTTTCCCTCCCCTGCATTCGGGACTGCTGGCGGGCTTCCCAAGTGGGTGGAGAGACCCTGCGGACATCAGCCCAGAGACTGCGCCGCCTGCCAACGGTGAGCCTGTAGCAGACGTGGCACCAGGTTCCCAACTTCCTGCCGGGCAACCTCTGTGTGCACGGACCCCCGAGCCGCGCGGCAGCGCCATACGTTGCCTCCTCCCTCCCCTCCGCCGGACCTCACCCGCGGCTGCCCAGGGAGACAATACAGCACCAGGGAGGCACCCTCCAGGGAACGGGAGCCTTCCGTTTGGGACCCGCCGCCCTCCAGGTGCTGCTGGCACCGTGTTCCCAGGAAAACGGTGCCGACTCAGAGGCGTGAGAGAACATATGACCCCAGCTTTGGGCTCCCTGTGGGTGAATAGGACCGGAAATCCTCTCCCTGGTGGGAATACAGTTTGAACTCTGGGACCCGAGGGTAGGTCCTGCAGACCAGATCCCCTGCACCGGAGGGCTAGCATGCCCCCCGGGCACAGAAGGATTATACTGCGACAGCCTATCTGAGGGCTGTGGTGCCTCCAGGGGGCGGATCGGCGTCCTAGAGGGCAACCCTCCTCTCCAGAAGGAGGCCCCGTGCGCCCAGACCCAGGTGGCGTTACTGTGCAGGAACCTCCCCGAAGCAACCCACAGTCCGGGGAGGCCTGGTGGCTTGTGGGTCTGGCCCTGCTGGCAGAGGCCCAGGAGTAGGCTGCAGAGTTGGGGAGGTGGAAAAGAAGCGAGCCTGCTGCAGACCTGCGGTCTCAGACAGCCTCCACCACCTCCAACTTTCGGCTGAGCGGGACCATTCCGCCCTGCCCTGACAGCTTTCCCTGTAAGCTGAGAATCAGAACTTTGACCCCTGCTAACGGCGCTGAGGGCAGGCTTTACCCAACCCAGCTCCGCGCCAGAACGAGAGCTGATAACGGACTCAAAATCAACCCATAGCCTGTTCCTCCAAGCAAAACGCCACCTACTGGACAGGGCGGCATCTTGCCACAGCCTTTCCACGGCATCCACTGACTCAATAATACAGGGAAGTGGTCCATTTCACCCACAGGCACACCCTAAGCCTCAAGAAACTAAACAAGGTGTGTGAAATACCCAAACAATAACCTAAGGAAAGAAACAACAACTGATCGAGCATGGGAAGAAGTCAAGCGAAAGAACTCAGAAAATATGAAGAACCACCGGAAAACACAACCCCCAAGGAGGAGCAGCCAGCCCCCTAGAAACGGACACCGACCAGATCAGGCAACAATATGACGAAAAGGAATTTCGTATGTGGATCATAAGAACACTCACCCAGCTGCAACAACACTCAATAACCAACACCAAGAAACACAAAAAACCTCCAAGAAATGAACAAAGGTTCAACAAGAGAGATTGACAAAGTGAAGAAAACTTCTAACCTGGAAGTCTGGAGATGAAGAATTCAATCAGAGAACTAAAAATACTGTGGATAAGTCTCAAGAACAGGGTAGATCAAGCAGAAGAAAGAATCTCAGGAGCTTGAAGATAACAACTTCCAAATTAAATAAATCAGTCCACAGAAATACAGCAGAGAAACAAGAGAAAAGCCAAAGCCTACAAGAGCTGTGGGATAAAAAAAAAAAAATAAAAAAAAAATATGTGAAAAAACCTAACGTGAGGGTCATAGGTTTAGCCGAAGGGGAGGAAAGACAACACTCAAGGCCTGGCAAGCTTTTTTTTGAAGATATAGATAGATGGAAAATTTCCCAGGCTTCTCAAAATCTCGATATTACAAGTTCAAGAAGCCCAGAGGACCCCTGGAGATTCAATGGCAAACAGGAAGACGTCACGTCATGCAGTTCATCAGACTGACCAAAGTAGTCAACTAAAGAGGCCCTTCTAAGAGCTGTAAGACAAAAGAAGCAAGTTGACATAACGGAAGCCATTCGAATAACATCAGACTTCTCCAATGAGACTTTAACAAGCAACGGAGAACTTGGGGGGCCCAATGTCTCCACTCTTTGAAACAAAACAATGCCCAGCCCTAGAATATTATTCCATGCAAACTAGCTCATATATGAAGGAGAAATAAAAACATTCTCCAGACAAGCAAAGGCTCAGAGAAATTCAACCAAGACAGAGACCAGCCTACAAGAAGTACTTAAAACTGCGTTACGCCACGGGAACATCATAATAACAGACATCCACGGATATAAAAACAACCAAAACGCAAAGATATTAACAGGCCAGATATGTCAAGTGGCTCAAGACAGAAATCAGTATGCAACAACCATCCAACAACAGACATCGATCATAATCTACCTTACCTATCAGTTCTCCTGCCAATAAACCCATGTGAATGGCTTTAAATCTCCACTCCAGAGACATAGGCTGGCTGAATGGATAAGAAAATACATGGGCCAAGTATATGTCTGTCTTCAGGAAACACATTTAAACCTGCAAGGATGCACATAGACTACAAATAAAGGGTGGAGATCAATCATTCCCAAGCAAATAGAAACCAAGAAGAAGGCTGGTGTGGCAGTTCTAATTTCAAGACCGGATTTAGTTTTTAAACCAACAAAAGTAGTAATAAGACAAAGAGGGTCATTATATAATGGTGCAAGGGCACAGTCCAACAAGAGAGATAGACCATTTTTAAATATATCTGCCACCCAACCAGGCTGGTTTCAAACTCCTGAGCTCAAATGATCTGCTTGCCTCGGCCTCCCAGAGTGCTAGGATTACAGGCATGAGCCACTGTACCCACCCCATACTCTCACTCTCGAGGGAGTCTTGCATGCTAGCCTGTGGAGGCATCCCAATAGAGAGGTTTTAGTTTTGTCTCTGTTGTGATCCTATGGGTTTCTCCTTTTTGGTCTAGTTTTCATGTCAATCTTTCTACTTGGGGTTCTCATACCACATTGGTAGTACGACTTGAATCCTACGCTTTCATGTGATGTAAAGTTGGGATTCAGATTTCTCTTGAGTTATGCTTTTTTCACCTATAGCCTAGGGCACTTGGCCAGCTTTCTTTCAACTTAGTAGCAAAGCTTTTAGATCCTATTTCAGGTCAGCCCTTTGAGGGCCCAGCTTTTTGCATTGTTCTCAGTTCTAGGAGTGGAACACTCTGAAGGTCTGTATCTGGGGCTAATACCCCTATAGACCTTTGGGCTTAGCTCAGCATATGGACCAGAAGTTACAGTCATCTTTCTAAAACTTGATAGGATCCTATTACTCCCTCACTTAGTTTTTGTGGACTTTTTAGCACTGCTTCATTTATTCATCCAACAGATGTTTGTGGTGCATAATCTCTGTGCTAAGAACTAGGGTTACTGTGGTGAGAAAGATATAAAGTCTTCGCCCTCATAGAGTTTACTATTCTAGTTGAAGAAACAAAATAAACTTGTAAACAAATAAATAAAGTTAACTACAATGTGTGAAAAATACTCTGAAGGAAATAAAGCAATGGAGAGTAACTGTTTTGGGGGTTACTTTCGACAGGGCAGTCAGGGAAGACCGCTCTGAGGAGGTGTCATTTAAGCCGAAATCTCATCCAAGGGATGAGGAGAGCCAGCCCTGTGAATAGTAGGCAGCTTGTTTGGGGTTGGAGGTTAGTTCCAGGCAATGGAAACAGCAAGTACAGAGACCCCGAAACAGGTAAACACTTGACATGTTAGAGTTACTAAGGTGACACCTGTGCGGCTCTCACGAGGGAAGCCTGCTCCCCAGTCAGGTCAGAGACGCAGGCGGGCACCAGGTCTCATCTGCTGCCTCCCCCCTTCCTCTGTCGTCTCGCCACACTGATTCTGTCCTAATGTGCCTGTGCACAGCACCGCCTTCGTAAAGCCCTTCTCACTATCGCAGTTGCCACTGCACTTTGCTTTTACTACTAATCAGCATGGAATACGGATAGTTGTTTACATGACAGTGTTCTCCAACAGACCTTAAGCTCTGTCGGGAGATGTGTCTTGTTTACCGTCGTCATCCCCAGCTTGTAGCACAGTGCATTTTCTTTCCGTGGCAGGCACATCATAAATGTTGATGAATAAGTATAATTTCTTTTTTAGCTGTTCATGCTTAGAGCCTCCTTTGTAATAACTTGATAACAGAACTTCTCATAGTTAATATTTTCGTGGTAATTAACTCATCAGGGTAAAGGACACCAGCACCCCTAAGGAGGAATTTATTTGCTTAAGACATCTCTGATACGTAAAGGGAGAAGCAGGGGAGGTACTATAGTTTGGTGTTTACCATGTAGTGGTTGGAACGGTGCCCCTCCCCAAAGATATGTCTACATCCTAACCCCTGGGATCTGTGAACTTTACCTTATTTGTCAAAAGGTTCTTTGCAGATGTAATTAAGGATCTCAAGATAAGATCATTCTAGATTACTTGGATGGACCCTAAATCCAATGACAAGTACCCTTATAGGAGACAGAGAAGGAGAAGATGGAGACAGAGGAGAGAGCCAGGGGAAGGTGGAGGCAGAGATTAGAATTGTATGACATAAGCCAAGGAATGCCTGGAGCCACCAGAAGCGGGAAGAGGCAAGGAAGGATCCTCTCAGAGGGAGGAGAGTGGCCCTGCAGGCACCTTGATTTTAGACTTCTGGCCTCTCGAACTGTGAGAGAATAAGTTTCTGTTGTTGTGAGTCACTAATTAGGAAACTAATACATACCCCATGCAGTTATACCTCACTCACCCATTCTGTGGCATGAATATAATAATACTTCCCTCAGAAGCTTATTGCCATGATTAAATGAGATACATTTGTAAAGTACTTAGCACATAGTAAATGTTCAAAAATAGTGATGGCTGTTCTTGTTCTTTAAGGACTTGGTGTTTTCTTTCTCCTGTGAGTAAGAACTCGACAACAGAGTGGGAACTTTCTGTCCTATGATCGATTACCTGGTGAGTCAAAGCTCCTAATGTAGATTTAACCTGAGAGCTGCCGATTTGGCCCTGGGGCTCCCAGGCCCCGGTGCCTTCTAGCAGTCCTTAGTTAGGGCTTGGTGGCGAGGGAGAGTTCAGCTTTCTACCGTGGGCTGGGGGAAGAAGTCAAACTAGAACTCAGTTACTAAATTTGAAATGACACACTTAGAGCAGAAAGCAACCTCTTAGTACCTGTCAAAAAGAAAGGCTTTGGGTTCTAAATTTCTAGTTCCCATTAAGAGACTCTGGGACTGGACATTTCTGGAAATGAATGTCCTGTACTGAGTAATCCTCCTAACACACCGATCACCAAAAAATTCCCTGTAACGAGTGCTGGCTTTCTGTATTTGTCTGAATGCCTTTGTACAACCTGGGAGTGCACAGGAAGGCAGCGGCGGGAGCACTGAGGACACTTGACCGTGCAGTCACGACAGGGCGGCAGGACTGCTGCTGCCTCTGCCCAGGATGGCTGGCACTGTGCTCGGAGTGGGTGCAGGCGTGTTCATCCTAGCCCTGCTCTGGGTGTCGGTGCTGCTGCTGTGTGTGCTGTTATCCAGAGCCTCCAGGATGGCTAGGTAAGGCCTGCTTCCAGCTGGGAGTCCTAGGTAAAAGCAATTAGAGCTAAAATCGCTGATGCTCATTAAACATTTAGAATTCAGGAGATCATTTTTGTAATTACTGGCAGTTTGAATGAGTTGCATTTTAACCTCTTATCATAAGCACGAACTGGGTTATTTATGCTCTGAAGCAGAGGTAGGAGGAGAGGGAAGTGGTATATTTCAGTTCTCACTGTGGAGGAGATGGGGGGACATAAGAGATGACAAGAAAATCTGCTTTTGCTGCCTATTGAATTTCTTGGGGTTTTACGTGTGTGTGTTTCTTAATTGTTCAGATTTATGGTAGATGCTGGGTCTAGTCCCTGAGTGTTTAGACCTGGGCCCAGGGAAACTACAGAAGCATTTGGTGAGTCAGACCAGCTCTCTATGTCAGAACAGGGTTAGGCCATAAACTGACCCTGAAAACTCTGTAGAGTTGCACTCTGGTGAGAGAGTGTCAGTCTGAAGCAGAGAGTTACAGAATTTCCTAAAGTATTCTGGTCTAAGAACAACAGAAATGGGGCTTTAGGGAGGGGCTGCTTTGTTTTTTCTAGATTAGGATTTTGTACACATGGAAAAATGAAAACTACAAATTCCCATTCTTAGGAATTTGGAATTACCAGGAGTAAACGGAAACACACCCAGCTTGTCCCTGCCTAGGAAGAAGGGCTGTGGGATGGAGGGGCTGTGGGCAGCAGGTCTCTGGACATTGTTAAGGGACTGAAACATAGAATATTGGTCTCAAGGAAGAGCCAGTTTAGGCCTAACTGATTAGAGAAGAAACTGCAAACAGTGCTTTTAATACTCTGTCTTTTTGACCCCAGGTTCTCTGTCATTTTCATACTCCTCGGTGCTCTGATCATCACATCAGTTCTATTGCTTTTCCCCCGAGCTAGTGAATTCCCAGCCCCAGAGGTCGAAGTTAAGGTAAAGCTATTGCTTTCATTTTGCCTCCTGAGTTGGAACTCTTGTTTCTCTTGGTCTGCACCTCCATCCTGCCCTCATTCCCTATCATCAGCTTGCCTGAGATGTGTTAAAAGAATTGTCAAGTTCAAACAACTGTCGGGAAAGCTCAGAGAGAGTTCTAAGTTCCCTGCCCTTCACTCAGGAAAAGAATCTTACCCTGAATTCCGCCTGCACTCCCACCAGGCAGTTGTTTGCCTGATTCTGTCTCATCTCCAATTTGTATCAAGCTGAACGACAATGTGTTGAAAAGCCACCCCATACCATGGGGACAGAAAAAGAGAAAATGAGATAGGAATAGGAATAGGCCTGCTCCTGAGATGGAAGTGTTCCTGTTCCTGGTAGCCTTGGCTCAGAACCTCAGATCCTGGGCCAAAATTGATGCAGTGCCCTCAGGGTGCTGAATGACATGCTTTGCCAGCTCCATGTGGTGCACTTTCTTGTTTTGTGATGTGGAGAGAATAATTTCCATAGAGAAGAACAGTGAGGAAAGAAAGAAGACATTTCTATGGAAAGCCAAAGTTGGTAGATCTAGATGAATTCAATCCTGACAGTCTTCCAGGAGCTCCTTTGGTGCTCATTCCTGCATCCATGCCTGCCAGCACCCCCTCTATGAGATGATTTTTATCATCTCTCTCATAGTCCTGATTCGGAGCTCTGGCTTCACCCTGCCCAGCTGATATCAGACTTGTAGGATCTTGACAGTGGGATTGACCTCTGCTGTCCCATTACTCCTTTTCCTGGCTTTTTTTCTCTATTGTCAATTTAATTTTTTAAAGTATTAATAGTAGTCATAATAGCTAACATTTTTTAAGGGATTGCTGCATTCCAGGTCCTGTCTAAGCACATTGCTTACTTACATTATCTCATTTAAACCTTAGGACAACACTATGTAGTATGAAGTAGGTACTATTTTTATCCCCATTTTCTGGGTAAGAACGCTGAGGCTGTAAGAGATTAAGGCAGCTTGCCCAAGGTTATACATATGTTGCAAAAGGCATAGCAGGGATTCAAGCCGAGGTCTGTCTTCATATCTTCATTGTTGGGGACTTAACAGAGTGTCAGAGGCCATTCCAGAGAGTTCATGGGTTACCATTTTGACACTAGACAACAAAAGTACATAAAATTATATAATTTGTGAACTAAAATTGACATATAACTCTATCTAGGACTAACCATGGCAAAAGGAAGGAAAACAGTTCTGAAAACTCCAAGGGAAATCATACGTACCACACACATTTAAGGAATTACTTCCATAAATGCCGAGTTTTTTGTCAGCATTTGGAAACCATTCTGAAGGTCTAAGTACCATGTGTCTGATCCAGGGGTAAATTCCTGTCTCAGTTTTGGTGCCTTTTAAGGGGGGATTGTGCTGTAGGCTGCCATATTTCTGAATGCTATAGATGTGAATATTGGAAGAAGGGCACAGAGCAAACACAGTTTTTAATCAATCCCTCAATTCTGATTCATACGAGTTCCAGACCCAGGAGAGAAGAATGGGGCTTAAGCGAAATGTGTTCGTCAGCATGGCCAGCAGAATTGGAGTTCTCATTTACAGGTTTTGAGAGCTGGCCCCTGCAGCAGCCTGTCTCAATGCTGTATCAATAATACATGGCCTGGGCCTTCTGCACCCAAGCCCTGCTAATTGGCTAATTAAAAAGTGAAACGTGTTGAACGAGCAAACATGTAGCCCGCGAGAGACATGTTCTATACAGGAGCCAAGGTCAAAGTTATGTTAAAGCTGTTTTATCAAGCTGACCTTTGTTGTAAGTTGACTGTTGGGGTAATCTCTGGAGCACCTGCGGTGTCTGCAGCCCTTTTCTTCTTGGTGTCTTTGGATCTCAGTGATCATTACCAGTGCTTGGACTTGATAGGTGCTATGTGTTTAACTGCTGTATTAGTTTTCTATTGCTGCTATAACAAATTACTGCAAAGGTAGTACTCACAACACAGATTTGTTATCTTAAAGTTCTGTAGATTAGAAGTCCAAAATCAGTCTCACTGTGCTAAAATCAAAGGGCTTGGCAGAGCTGCATTTTTCTGGAGGTTTTAGGGGAGAATTCATTCCCTTACCTTTTCCAGCTTCTAGAGGCTTCCCGTATTCCTTGGCTCACGGCCCCCTTCCTCCATCATCAAAGCCACCAATGTAACAACTCACTGAGGCTGCTCCCATCCTTTTTTCCAAGCCCCCAAATGGAGGCTTAAAGATATTAACTACCTCTCTTTCTCTGACCCTCTCTTCTGCCTCCCTATTCAACTTTTAAAGACCTTCGTGATTACATTGGGCCTACCTGGATTATATAATCCAGGCTAATAATCTCTATTTGAAGGTCAGATGATTAACAACCTTAAGTTTATCTGCAACCTTAGTTCCCCTTTGCCATATAATCAACATATTCACAATTTCTGGGTAGGATGTGGACATCTTTGGGCCATTATTTTGTCTACCACAATCACCTTTCTGGTATTTTGGATTCTCTTGTAAGTATTGGGTTTTCAAAGCTTCTGTGAAGTCAATCAGTCACCTGATTTATGTTGCTGCTCCATTAGGTCTGTCAATTAAATTGCTTTTTCCTGCCCACATTTAAGCACCGCTATTTGAATCTGGGGATAGTGGAGCTCTGAAAAGGGACAGTAGACAAGTGTATAGAGCCATCATCGATTATAGGCTTTTGTCATCCAGCAAAGGCCAACAGCTTTGGCGCCTCAAGTGTAAAGCCAGGCAGCCAACTGTATGATGTTCTCTTAGTGTTTTAGTATCTCAGGCTATTTTCCTTTCCCTAGTATTCAGAATTCTTCTGATGAAAGCTTTAAAGAGCTATCTTTTCATTTTGAAAATGAACTCTCCTCAGTTGGCAGTGGGTTGATGATTTGGGGGGTTGGGTCTGAGGTACATAAGGCTTTATTATACTATGATATTTGTATGTATGTTTAAAATTCTTCATAATAAAATACGTTTTAACAACAAAAATGAGCCTTTCTTGGACCATGCAAAACCTTCTCATTCTTTCAGAGAACAGATTTCAGAACATAAAAGAATTCATTCAGGGACTTCAAGGGTTTATGAACCTCCTAAATTGAGCCATTTGTTCCCTGTACCTCATTAATCCTTTCTTTACCTTATGTCTCTTGCTCATGGAGTTGAGAAAAAGATTCCTTCTTATCCACGTACAGAGGAGACTCAAGGCAGGATGTTACTGGAAGTTACAAATATGAATAAACTCTTGGCCTGTTCATGACAGATTTCAGTGTAACACAGCCAGGGTGCTGAGTGGTAGTAATTTCATTTTGATGTTTTCTTTCTCCAGATTGTGGATGCCTTTTTCATTGGCCGCTATGTCCTGCTGGCTTTCCTCAGTGCTGTCTTCCTTGGAGGCCTCTTCTTGGTTCTAACTCATCATGTCCTGCAGCCAATCTATGCCAAACCACTGCGGTCCTACTGAGTGCTATATGGGAAAACCAAGACCTTGCTCTCCTCTACTTCGATGTGATGGCATTGATGAACAGAAAGGCACCATTTGGAGCCTTGTTTTGACAGCCCTTGTATATTAAGATCAAAGGACTATCCATCCATCAGTAAGATAAATCTCTTATGTCCTGGCTTCCAGAAACAGGGTTGCAAAATTTTCCCTGTGGGGATAGATTCTCACCAGCTTATGAGAGATTTTGCAGTCTTCTTAGTACTTGTACCTAAGATAAGAAACTTTCCATCGCTTTGAAAGGGACATAGTAACAGTGATCTGCTTGAATATATTTTCAATCAAGTTATTGTAAAGTGGACTTTTGGGAAAAGGAAGCAAATTTTGGCTTCTGTGTCCAAATAAAAGAAACCTGGTCCATTTTGTATGTAAAGAATTCTTTTGTTATGAGGTTAAATCATTTGGAAAGGAAAAGGCACTCAAATTCAAAAGTTATTTAATGTGTAATTGGGGAGACTACTCCCAGATATTGGTTACTGATGACTCTATTGCATGTAATTCCACAGAACTTTGTAAAGGCAAATGGTGGTGTCACTTTCACTCTGCTCTAAATATAGCAATAAATAACAGCAAAAGGCGCCCTTTCCACTCAAACTCTTGGCCACAGCTTTCCGAATCCAGTATTTTTATATATCAGTTTACTTGGGGATTAGAGGAAAGATATGGTCTGGTTCACAATTTTGGAAGTCTGATCCTTACTTCCTGGAACTATTTGCAAAAGGTCTTTATGCTTAAAAATTTAAGAACCAAGAAAACAAGTTGGAAAAAGAACATTGAGTACATGCCATATGCCAGTAGCACATAATTCCTTTGAGTTTGATTTTAATTTTTATAACAATCTATTAATCCATTTTAAAGTAGAAAAAATTGAGCTTGAAAGATATATGACTTGCTCAGCTCACTTAACAGCCCAGTGTGCAAACCCAGTGTGAACAGACTCTAGGCCTGTCTCAAGACTGGAAAGAAAACCACACTAAGCTTTTATGGAGCTCAGAATTGAAGCTTGAGGAAAGGTTAAAGCCACTGCTCCTTCTCTTTGTTTGCTGATCCTATTGTCAGATAGTGAAGGTACCTATCCTGTCACCCCCCCAGGGGGCACTGAGTCTAAATTAAAAAGGAGAAAAAACATGACCATTGAGTTCATGGGCTGGTGAGGCCACATGTATTATTCTACACTTTGTACTGTTGCCTTGATCTTCACTCAATTTGGAAAACCTTTGCACATAAGGGCTTTAATACGAAGAAAGCTTCAAG